AATGACAGTACTATCAATTAGTAAATAAAGTCTCGCATTTTATGCTTATTCGCAGTAAAAAAAAAAAAAAAAAAAAGCATTATGTGAAGACATTTTGTATCGGAGTCATAAATTAATACAAAACTAACATGATAATATAATTGATATCATTGAATGTGAAGCACTAAATCAATTAGAAAACTACTTGTTACTAAACAGAAAATCGCTAAAAAATTTTCCGAATATGTCAATTCCTTCAGAAGGGATGTTACATATTAATGAGAATTTAGATCAATTAATTTGAAAAGAAAAATCATATAATACTATATAACTAAAGGATGAATTATGTAGAAGTATCCCTTTATTAAATAAAGACCAACATGAAATATATGATGCCATTATGCAGGCAATTGAACATGATGGCAGATATTTCTTTGTAGATGGTCCAGGTGGTACTGGAAAGATGTTCTTATACAATACCTTACTTGCAAGCATTAAATCATATGAAAAAATTACTTTAGCAGTGACATCTTCTAAAATTGCCACACTTTTGATGAGGGGTGATCGAACTGCATATAGTCAATTTAAAATTCTACTAAAACTAAATGAGTCTTCAACGTGCAATATTTCATGAAGAAGCAAAAAGACCCGTTTAATTAATACTGCAAAACTTTTTATTTGGAATGAAGCCCCAATGATCCATAAGTTTGCATTTGAAGCACTCGACTGGACATTTCATAATATCACCAAAATAGATAAGCCATTCAGTGGAAAGGTTTTTGTCTTTGGAGGAGATTTTCACCAAGTTCTGCCTGTTATATCATATGCGTCTCATGCTGATGTTGTCTCAACAAGCTTGAGCTGATCGTTTTTATAGAAATACTTAAAAGTAATGAAATTGATAATCAACATGAGACTTAGTCAGACTAATGATGTCGATAAGAACCGAAGACAAAGAAATTTTGCTGAATTTCTTTTACAAATTGGAGACGGAAAGTATTCAATTATCCCAAATACAGAAAACAAGATAGAACTTCCTTCGGACATAGTAATACTTAGAGAACAATTGTCAGATCTTATCAATTTTGTTTATTCAAACTTAGTTGAAAATTCTGGCAATATGAACTACATGGTTGGCAGAGCCATTTTAATTTCAAAGAACGATAAAGTTGAAAAAATCTTTGACCTGATTATGAACCGGCTTCCAGGTGAAGTTTACACATATTACAGTGCAGACTTTATAGGTTTAAAGGACGGTAATGTGGAATAGCCCCAATTGTATTTCCTGAATTTTTAAGATCCCTAAAGATTTGTGGTCTTCCTTCTGGTAAATTAAAGTTAAAAGTAGAAATACCTATTATGCTTTTACAAAACTTAGACCCATCAAAAGAACTTTATAATAGGACCCGATTAATTTGTCATAGACTTCTTAGTAAGGTAATCGATATGGAAATTATAACAGGTTTATATATTGGATAACACATTTTTATATCTAGAATTACATTAATATCTTCTGATACCAGTTTGCCTTTTACTTTAGTGCAACGCTAATTTCCTATATGAGTTGCATTTTCTATGACTATTAATAAAGTGCAGGGCCAAATATTAAATTAGATGGGTTTCTATATGCCACAGCTGGTTTTTTCACATGGTTAGCTGTACGTCACTTTATCAAGAATCATTTCTTACTGATGTATCAAAATTCTTATATCAAATAACATAAATAGAAACCAAGATCGACAGACAAAAAATATTGTGTATTACAAAGTTTT